TGTGCCTTGGTTTGTTTTTTGTTTTGTTTTGGTTGGTTTGATTGAGTTTTTTTAAATGAATTAATTTGAGTTTAAAATAGAAGAACTATTGACGGCAGAGATTTCATGTAATAGCTTACAAAAATAAAATTAGTAGTTTGCATTTTCCAGAACTATTGTTTCCAGTGGCTCTGAGAATGAAGAAAAAAATATAGCGATCTGTATTCATTCATCATTTCACAGTTACTTTCACAACAGTAAGATCTAAGACTGTGTTTTAAAGTCAGAAGCTATGACCTTTTAATACAGAATAATAGCAAAGATGTGTATAGAGATGTGGAACTTATAAAGGACTCCAGTTCACAGCATTCAAAGCAGCACTACTACGAAGATATTTACTAAGGAAAACATAAAATGACAATCTATCATTTTAAATTGGAAAGTTGAAAAAAAAAAAGTTATTTTTTGACATTCTGTGAATCGTCTAATGTTAGGCATAACAGCAACTGTGCTGCTACTTGCTCTTCTTTTTCAGTTTTTCAGAATGGAGTTGTTTTCTCAAATGGAAAATAGTTGGAGTTATTTGCTGTCATAAAATCTGTTCAACTGCAATTTATTTAATACACATAGATTTCATGAAATAAAGAATCAGTGTTGCTTTTTCTTTAGCTTTCTCTTCTGCCAGGTGTCCTTTTGAGAAACTTAGCTTTTATAAATTCTTTTGCAGGTCCTTCAATTTGTTGTCTTGGAGATAGTTATAGTTCTAAAATAAGAATTACTGAGACCGTATGCTTAGCTGTCAGCAATAGTAAAAAATGCATGGAACATCTTCATTTCTTGCAGTGTATACACTGTATTTATTCAGACAATTGAAGAACCTCAGAAGTTTATTTCAAAGGATTTATCTCCTCAAGAAAAATAAATACTTTGCATTTGCTTTTTATTTTAAGCCAGACGTTGAAGTTGCCCTGTGTTGTTTCATACATAAGCTGTTATTATCAGCAACATGTTACTGAAAGCAGCATAGAACCTGTCATGTAGGCACAGTTCCACTCTGACAGATGGGCATGGTGTAGGCATGCCAGCCAACCATTCTATCTTCACCTAACAAAGTATGAAGGGAAGAATTTTTGTCCAGGATTACCACTGTGGCATTCAGTGCAGTGTAAGGCTTTGAGTTCAGGAAATGCACTCAGACTGGTCCACCTCATAGGATGACCAAAAATTTAAAAATAGCCTGGGTTTTAGGTTCTGCTGTGTTTGTACTGGGAAAAGGGACCAGTTGCAGTGGGGCTTCTGTTTCTTTTTGGCTGTCTGCTAAAGTCACCTAATGGGCACAGCCAAAAGAATTCTGCCACTGACACACATTTCTCCCTGATTAATTACCTAAGTATGGAAACAGAAGCAGTATGTAATTTCTCTTGTGAGAAAGCTGTTGTTTGTGGCTACATACATGTCTCTTCGGATATAGATCTGTGAGGATCTGCTGATGTAGGATGAAGTCCTAGTGTTAAAATATGATTTAAAATAGAAAAATCTGTATGAGAATAAATCAGATTTCTGTGACTGAAGATTTGGATAGGGATATGCAGAATAGTTCTGCAGGTTTTCAGAAATGCGTATCAGCTATTGCTTGGTGATTGCGCTTAAGGGTTTTGGAGAGTTCTTTATTTTTAAAGAAATTGCCTTAATGCCTTGTGCTTGATTTTATAAAGTAGCCAAGCACTTCAAGCTTTTGGCAAATGTACTTGCTTGAGCAAATGCTTTTGTGTGTTACATTACACAGTCTTTATGTCTGTCAGTTTTACTTTCCTCAGGATTCTTGTGTAGCTCCAATGTTTTAATCTTTCAAGTCTGACTCAGCCTTTAAATAGCAACAGATTTTGCTAACTTTCCTGAAAGTTATGCTGATATGATTCATTCATGCTTTCTGGGGACTTGGTTTCCATTGAGAAGTTTCTAAATTTTTGGGAAATAATGTTTGCATGGCACTGTCACTTACAAGATGGCACAGTATGTGAAAGAACAGGTGTGAAAAAGGAAGTGAATAAAATTGCTTTGAAATATAAATGGACATTTTGTGGGCCTCTGTTAGAATGTCTTTTATAAACTGTACTAAGTATTCAGTTTTTCTCTAATATGAATGTTTTCTTTCTGAAATGAAATTATGTAATAATATTTGACTGACACTTCTTTACCTGCCTAGTTTTAAATTAAAATTCATAATTAAGCTTAATATAAAATTACAAGATTTGATTTAATGCTTTCTTCCAGTACCAGAACTAATGTTCACTGCATTAGAAGGTGTAGTCATCATTGAGAAGCTTTGTTCTTTTAACAAAAGATACCAAAAATAAATTCAGTTAGGGTCATAGTGGTTTAGTTTAATACTGTTATGATAATAAGTACTGTAATTACTTTCAGATAGTTCTTCATTCCCAGAGGATGAGATTTTTAGTTTTGATGTCTGCTTAAAGCATGAGAATGACAGTAAAATTAATGTCATAACCTTTACAGCCTATTTATCGTTTTCTGTGTAGTATCCTAAAGGATTTTGTGTAACGTCTGAAATAAATGTCTTGGTATGCATAAGCATCAAATTAGGTTAATTGGGTTCACCTGATACTCAGTCTGTCTCTCAGGACACCAATTTCATGTAAAAGACCTGTGGGTATCTTTCTGTGAAAATTGCTTTTAAATTATTACGTATATATGCTCTGCTTCCTTTGATTGTTAAAGACCAATTTACAGTGTAGGCTTTTTTCCCATTTATTGATATTTTTGCTTCTTCTGGTTGAAAATTCATTTATCTTTTCATTCTGCAGTAACATAAGGAGTAGTATAGGCATGACAGACCTTATTTTGTGGCATTAAGGTAATTTTTACTTTTTAATTCTAACTCCACTTTTTTTTTCTAACAGATTTCATTTTTGAGCAGTCAGCAGCAGATTTAGACAGAACTATTTTGAGTTCTGAAGTACTGTGACTTGAATGATTTTATTTTTTGTCCTATGATAGAGTTACAAACTGAGGAAAACAGATTGACAGATTATACAGAATTTTAAAAATGTCATCATTGGGATAGACTCCCAGAGAAAAATTGATAATGATGCCACATATCTTCTGTATTTGGAAAGAACCAGTACTGGACTCAAATATACCGAAGAAAGACTGTAAGAATGTTTGCCTCCTCAGTATTCAATAAAAATAAAAAAAGGGACATCCTGGATTATTAATGGTGTCCAACCTAAAATTTGTTCTATACGTAAGAGCTTAAAACAGGTACAAAATTTGTTTAATAATTTTGATTAATTTTATGTAATAATTTTAATTTGGCTCTTTTTTTAATGTCATGGTTTTTATGGGTAGTAGTCATGCCAAGCCAGATTTATAGTCAAAATAAAAAAAAAAAAAAAAATCCACTGAGAGTAGGTATAGGCAGCTGTACAGTCTAAACTTACATCAGTGTAGTCTGCTCATTCTTGCAGTTTAGTAGAGTTGTCTGTATGTTACCACGATGTAAAACTACCCCTAGATGAGCTGACATACGTTTGTGTACTGGGTCTGACAGATGAGATGTTGACTGCTTAAGTACCACGGACAGAGGCTCTTTGAGGCAGCCTGGGATCTGCTGTTACGCATTGGCAAACCTCTACCAGGAGGTGATGGTTTAGGTACACGAGCTTCTTATTACATATGGCTCAGCACAAGAGATATGTGTACCAAAGAGCCTCACCTGTTTGCTGTGTGTGAGGTCTCGTCACAGCAGACACAGTTAATTTTCCTTTATGCTTTAGTATTGAACTTCCTGGAAATGGAATTGGTTTTGCCTCTTTCATACTTTACTGCTGCCCACAGAACCATCTCCTTCCTGGAACCCCACCACTGCTTTTTGAAAGTCAATTGCATGACAATAAAGAAACATATTCAAGACTTCCTTATGTGTTTAGTAATTGCATCAGAATTTGTCCTAACTATTTTTGTATATACCCCAAACCAATCCGTTGGTACTTCATGTGCTCAGAAGGGAGCTCTTGAGTGCATGTCTGGAATGTTCTTTATGTAAGATTCTACTTGCTGTTAGATTAGCCAGGAAAGTAAGCAAACTTCACATCCACACAACTCCTCTGCTCATGGGAAGTGTTATAGATATGCACTGGTATGAAAGCCTAGATCCAAGTAAACCCTGAAACAGTTAAAGTTCAATTTGTGTAGGTCAATATACTTGCTGGTTACCTTCCCAAAGCCTCCAGCTGCATCACAAGAGAGAGAGTTTTATACCCTGATTTCTAACATGAACCAGACTATTCCACAGCCATTCCAAAAGCTAGACCATTTTACGTTAAAGAAAATCTCTCAGCGGATAACAACACAATATTATACTGTCTTTGTATAATACTAGGGTTTTTTTACTTGACTTTAGAATGTCACTTGATGGAAGCTTGTGCGACACTGACCACACTGGGAAGAAATAGCCAGCTGTTAAGTTACTGGGTGGTTTACTTGATGTAATGCTATTTTATGTCAAACATTATGTATCAAATTTAGTGGTTAAATTCAGGAGAGGTGGCAGTGTAATGTTTGCTTCACAAATGCAAGCTAATATATTAATTGTAGCATCCATGGAAGATTCTGCTTGTCAGTCAGTTATATGGGATCCATGCAGTCAGATGTTTGAAGAAAAATGATTGTTTAAGCCTACGTTGGCTGTGATTCTTCAGAATGCATTGTCACACTGGAATTCACGACGTGCCCCCTTTTCTTTCTTTAAAAGGGGTTTTCAATTATAAGAAGCCTAAGTTAGTTGTACCCACTGTTGAAATACAGAGAGTGCGTATAAGGGTATGTGTGATCCAGAGAAACACTTGGTTTAAAACTCTGGTGGTGTTTTCGCATGAGGTATGGGCATACTGGGATCCTTTCTGGAATACAGTTTTTGAAAACTATTGCCATTTTCCTATTCTTTTTGTTTGTTTCTGAAAAATTATCAGCTTCTAAGTATCTGTATTTCTTCTTTCCAGGAACTTTGTCGTAACTTTTGAAGGGCATAATGCAGAATCCTTTAACTTTTTCTGCAGGTATAGTATATATTTCCTATTTATTTTTTTTTTTTTTTTAGAAATTAGATGCTTGTGATTCAAAGCGTGGAAGAAATGTCATCATCATTAATAAGTCACTGTATAACTCCTGTCTGCTATTCTACCCTAATATGTGTTTTTTAAAAAGCCATTATACTGCAGAATTTATCACTTTAAATGATTACAATAGCTAAAATTGTTTTCTTCTGTAGGACATTGCTAATTACTGTTACAAACTGTAGTCGAAGCTTGAAATATATTCATCTACTTTTTGCTTGATTCAGTAGAATTAAGTGTTCAGGGTTTATTACAGTTTTTTTCATCTCATACATTTGAAAATCGTTGTCATATTTGACCCCGATATAATTTGGGGTCATATCTATTTGCAAGTTGTGCTACAGGACTAGCACAAACAAGAAAATGTTTTCTAAATATAAACTTAGATTTTTAGATTTTAAGTGCCATTTCTCAATCATTCCTACCCTTACTAACATTATTTGTGCTTAACTGTATTTCTTCTATGTTTTGTTTCTTCAAACATCATTTTTTGGTAATTTATTTTTTCAGTAGGGTTGGTGTCTTGGATTTTTCCCTCTGCTATTAATAAGGATATCTGTGCTTCAGCTGTGTGTTCCCAAGCCTCTAAATGTGTAGCCATAACTTTAATTTCCTTTCCCTTTTGATCTGTGTCACAATGCTAATGTTTAAGTATGATTTTGAACTTGAATGTCATTTTTAATGATATTTCTTAAATGTGAGTGAACGTTTGATGGATATGACATAAGCACTAATGGACCTTTCAGAACCATTGCAGGTTGTCAGTTAAATTTCCATTGTTAATACTTATGTTAATTAAGAAAAGTACTATATATTACTTAACTTGAAGCCTTGAGCTTTTGCTGTCGTTTAAGTTTATACTTTACCTGTTTTGTGAAGACTGAGTATTTTAATGATACTGTAATTATTCTGAGGAAGCTATTCCAGAAGGATGTCACGCAAATCGATCTTAGTTGACGAGTTCTGTGTCTAATGGGACTATTCTTTCAAGAGAGATGGTACTTACTGTTGTGTAAAGCTATCTACCATGCAGTGTGTTCTTCATCCATATACTTAAGAGTGAAATACTTAATTTGAATACTTAAAAGCCTTAATTTAATTCTTCCTTTAAATAACAGGAATTTGACCACTGTTATAGTTGAATGGAACGAGTTATCTTTACGTTGAAGTAATTCTGAATAGCAAGAGGAGAATATAGATTGTGAAGCTGTTTCCAAACTTGAAACTGATTAATCATTCACTTTTGAGACTTTTTTTTTTACTTATTTTTTTTTTCCTAAACAAAAATCCATTCCAGTCAGTATCCTGTTATCAGCTTGCACCAGAGTGAATTATAGGAGCCATGTCGTAAGCTTTGAAGGTGAGGGTTCATGTTAGAAATCATACCCAGATCCTGGCCAGGAGCTGTATTAGTGTGAAGTCATGGTCTAGGCTTAGTCATACTAGTCTCAGTATATTTGTTTTTGTATTCTTTTACTGTCACTCTTTTTTATCCTTATATCACGCATCACTTTTCTTACGTAAATGTGTTATGGCCCTTCAAAAATGTTGATGCTGTTAGCAATTTATAAAGATTTATGTACAACTATAACATTGGTACATTTCTTACAGATAAAAGGTTTGAAAATAAACGGTATTGGAAGTAGACCCTATCCATCAGTTACATTCAGTATACCATTTTTCCTGTCTTTCTGTACTTCAAAAATGCTTGTTATTTTTCAGTTAAGTATGGAGATTAAGGTTAGTGCAGGTTCTTTGAGTGACAGCATAAACCCATCACTTTCTACCATTTGTCATGTAATAGCAGGAGTTCTGTAATATGATGTGTACTGCTTCAGGGCATCTGTATTTTTCTCAATTTAAAATAGTTTATAAGAAAGCTGATTATCATTTGCACAACAAGCAATTGAACAATGTAACTCCATGTTCAAACAGATGTACTTTTCTGAATAATGATAAATATTTAATTTCCAAGATTTTAACATTTTTTAGGAATTATGAAGTTATCATTGAAGCATTATATCTTGTTATTTACATTCATGTTAATATTTGTTATTGAGCAAGTGCGCAGGTGTTTTTACAGTGCTCCATGATGACATAAAATATCAGCATGCCTTAAAGAACTGAAACACTTTTGGCATTGTCAGATTTATAAAACGTTTTTGTTAAGTCACTCTAACATGAAAGAATTATGCATCTTATACAGTTATTATGCAAAATACAAGGCTGTCCTGGTTTACCCAGGAATTTATTTAGTACCTTTTTGTCTTTAAAATATACATTGGAAAAGTAGCTCACAGCCTGAAATCATGGTTTTGAGTGTATTTATTTTATTTTTTTTTACAAAATCATGTAGTTTTTAAAAAGTCATTGTATAGTTTAGTACATTTTGTGTCCATGTTAGTAGGGTCATTTGGTGCTGGGAGATCTCAAACTTCATTAGCTGTGTAAATGTGTTTCTTAGAATCAGCTCTCACTTTGCTGGAACCCCTGCTGCCTTTATATCATTAACATAAATGCAGGTGCAAATAGCATTTATGTACTTTGATAGAAAGCAGTTGGAGACATTTCGCTGTGGGACACGACACTTTCAGATTGTGTACATCTGTTCAAATAATGTATCCAAGCCAGTGACATGAATGCAAGGATAAAAACATCTGCCCTTGAGACCATTTGCCATACAGCAGATGCTTACATCTTTGTTTATGCAGATGGTTTGTGTGATGAGCTGAGCAATGATGAAAGTGAGAAAGTTTGACAAAGATTTCAGGGTATTGCTTGGGATAGGAAAATATGTTGGTAACAGTGCTTCATTTTCAGATGTCTACCAAGAGAAGGACATCTGTTATAAATACTGATGTTTTTAGTAACATGCATGTGGGTTTTTTGACATTAGCTAGATTAACACAAAATCTGTGAAGGTTTGTTTTTTTTTTATTTTTAACTCTCTCATACAAAAATTGTACTGCAGCTACAGAAGATACTAACTAGTTTAATAAAAGTGATTACTTTTAACAGGAAGTTTCAACTGCTTTGCTTCAGTCTGTTCTCAAGTTCATACAAAACATTGAATTGACTGAAAAGTTGGCAAAATTAGAATAATTTTGAATAATAACATAACTCTAAAGGCTGTGCGTGGTGCTGTAGAAGATTTCGTGACTTTGGGGATTTTTCAATAGAAACTGTATTTAGCATTCCAAAGTTATTAGACAAATAGTTTAGCTTTTCTGTTGTTTGAAAATTACTGTAGGGTAATTGACGTGAGTGGCAGATCTAAACTGAGCTGGCACTTACATGAAGGAACAGAAAGTGCCCTGTGCAGCCTTCCCGGCCCCAGCAAGGCTTGCCTGGCTCCGGTGGTGGCCAGAGGCAACGGTGACGGCCGCCCGACTCCCCCTGCTGGACTCTGCACTCAGGGGCTCCTTTGTCTGCCCGCACAGCCAGATACACGTGAGTTTAATTAGAAATGTACTGATAGTTCAGCACATGGCAAGTTAAGGATATCATCTTTGGCCTACATTCCTGTTGACTGCATTCCTGTTTTCATTCCCTCGCATGCTGGCACCCTTTACAAGTGTTTAGTGATATATTATCACTTAGCAGCGATGTATTCAAACAATTCCTTTACAGCACATCCAGTACCTTCTTTTGAGAACTGGTGCTGCCTTTAAACAAGACAGTGGCTAGTATGGGTGTGCTTAGCAATGCCAATAAGCATTGCAAATAATTGCAATTATGCATAGGGGGAGGAAAACCATTCAGATACTGTAATTTAAATTGTTTTCTGCTACATCCTGCTGCCAGAAAGATCTAGCTGTATTCAGGTTCAGCAGCAGGTAATAGTTTTGTATGTTCTGAAGACTAATATCTTCCTAGTGAGGACTGTAGCCTTTCTGGAGATGCTTTAGTTTTCCTATGCTATACAGAGCTGTGTCTGTCTTTGAAAAAATATACGTATCTAGTTGAAGTACTGAGGAGATCGTCTAATCTTTATTTTTGTTTTACTCCGTAGTGGAATTGATTACAGGTGGTGATGTTTGGCATATCTCAACTAGAACTGTAAAGTCTTTTTCTGAAGAAATTTGGGTCATGAAGAACAAAAAGGGGGGACACCTAGAGCAGATAAAATGCCTGGATAGAGTTTCCCTGTTCAAAAGTTAGATCACTTAGGTAATTTTTAAAGAAAATGAGCTATTTACAAAGTCCTATGGAAAATACTTTCCAACTGTCATCCAAGTTAACAATCTGTTCTGTGTTCTGGCCCTTTCTTTGAGGAATGATAAACCCTGTGTATAGTTCATACTGGAAGATTCAGAACAGGCCAGGCCAAGACTGACAATCTTCTGATCCTCTGTTCATCTTTAATGAGGGAACACTCTCTGAGGTTTGTAGCACAGAAGTTACCATACAGATGCTTTTAATGCCTTAAGTAAAATATATTTGCTCTATTGAGCCAAAGGGGTGAATTAACTGTTTTCTCCTGCACACAGGCTCTCTTCTAAGGAAGTGCTTTAATTTTCCCAAAATGTGATACTTTATAAAAGGAATAACAAGCTTGATCTTCTGTTGTGCTCTGTTTGCGCATCAGTATTTGAAAAAATAAATTTTGCAAGAGGCATAGTTGCCTTACTGCAATCAGACGTGAATGTTTGCTGTCCCACAGAGGGCAGGAAGGAGGGTTAAACTCGGAGTAAGACAAAGATAGATTCTATTCTTAGCTTGTTTGAAGGGGGAGCAAGAGTCTAGTCAGAAAATATTTCATTATTTTTTCATAAAATGTTTCTACTTGACCTTTTTGTGCTGCATAGTTTCTGAGGAATTCTGCCTTCGTTTTTGTAGCAGACTTGATAATTATTGTTTCCTGCACTTAAGGAAAAAAAGTATATTAATTCCCACATATATTAGGCATATCATGATTTTGTCCAGGTTGACTTGATCTTGAT